ATAATTAAATAATATATAAGATATCAAGAATATCATATATGTACATACTTATCAATAATTGTACACATTTGCATATGTTGCGTTTTCAGTTAACCGCGCAGATTTACTTGTCCCTAATGTATATCCTTAGGGCCCAGACACACGCTTTTGTATAACGCATAATACATACTGCATAAGCGAATCAACTAATCAGAAGCTTTCCTTTCCTCTCATTCCATGGAAAAGAAGAATTTTGATTGGTTGATTCCATTATGCACTATGTATTATGCGTTATGCAAAAGCTTGTGTCTGGGCCCTTATACTGTGACAAAACGATGCACTGATATCCTATATAATAGGTCTGTTTTCTGTGGCTGAACTAGTGTACACTTTTGGAACTTAAAATGAGATAGATATATGTTTGATATTTGTTTAAAGCAAGAAAGAGAGTTCTAGAACAGTCTAGTGCAGGAATAGAAAACAGACCAAATATGCACTGAACTGGCACCGTTAAAATAGGCCTGTTCTTTTTGGTTGAACTTTTGCACCAGTTCATCTTTCTTCCTTTTCTCTCCAGGAGGAAAGAAGAGGAAGAAAGATAAACTGGTGCAAAAGTTCAGTTAAAAAAAACAGGCCTAATATCTCGTGCCACTTATAGCGTTTTTCATTAGCAAAACTAGTGCGCACTCAGTGCACATTAAAGCTGTTGTACACTGTTCTAAAAGAATATAAAAGCGAGATATCTCAATTGATAAAATGCTCAAAATTTATTTTATCAAATAGCACAATAAAATGTATCGAATATTTCAGTTTAATTCGTTTATATATTGTTATTAAACGTATATCTTTATATCGATTTTTGTACAACGGCTTTAAAGTGCACTGAGGCGCACTATGCGAGTGTCGTGCGGTCAAATGAACACGTGACATTAGCCAAGTGCGCATTGGCACTGCCAATCGAACACGCTCTTGACAATGACCTAGTTTACACCAACGGTTCGATCCGGGTCAGAATGCAGGGCTGCGTTCCGCTTCACGCATGATGCGCATGCTGCATTATTTATCTTTGTTATTCACCGAATGTTAAACAAGGATAAATGATGCATCATGCGCATCATGCATGAAACGGAACGCAGCTCAAGATCAACCAACTGCAGTCGAGCATTCCCCTGTTACAGTAGAATGACAAGGGAATGCTCGACTGCAGTTGGTTGGTTTTTACATTCCGACTCGGATCGAACCCTCGGTGTAAACTAGGCCACTGAGTGCAGCCAGTGCACCCTAATCGAAAACGCTATTAGTTTAAACTTTAATGTACAAATTTTTAGAGTCTGATCGAAATTTCGATTTCGATTTCGGTCAGTTTCGGTAAAAAATTAGTTTCAACTTGATTTTGGTTTCGGCCGAAATAAGAGAAAATTTCGATAAGTGATGTGGCTGCAGCACAGACTGTTGCATAACGCATAATGCATAATACATAAGGGAATCAATCGAAATTCTCCTTTTCCATGGAATAGGAGGAAAAGAAAGATTCTGATTGATTGATTTGCTTATGCACTATTATGTATTATGTGTTATGCAAAAATCTGTGCTGTAGCCTTGAATCAAAACTAGAAATTACAATGCGCCGATGAGCATTTGAAAAACTATATCTATTATTATCAGCTGATCGACGCCAGTTGCTGCAAATCACGCCGACTTCCTTCTTTATCCTTTTTTACTAGTCAAGTTGTCACAAGTCTAGTGCCTGAAATTCCTTATAATGTATAGAAAATTCCTTGTAATATTATAAGGAATAATAAGATATTAATGAAATCTTATTTTTAAAAAAGTACATAAATTTCACATATTTTGACATTTTCCAATGACTGAAAATCATGTAGTGTTTGTAAAATTTATCCAATTTCGGTTTTGGCAGAAATAGAATAAAAACCGAATATTCGTTTTCAATTTCGATCAAAGATAAAAAAGTTGTTTCGGTCGAACTCTACAAATTTTGCAAACTAAATTGTAATATCAAAAATGTATTTACCAGGTTTCTTTTGGTCCCATGTATACAAACATGTAATCATCATTTAGTTCGGGATGAGTAATGTAATATTCATTTAACCAGTCTGATACAAAATACTGAGGTACTTCATACATTGGGACATTCGAGAAGCTTCTCACGCAATGCCAATCTTTCAAGTACAACAATGGCATCGATTTATCATAACAGCTTTGCTTGTAATCAGCCCAATATTCCAAGTAACTCTCCATAGGCATGTTATTCTTAAATTGCGTATTATAAAGCTTTCTATTACAATCAGCAACTGGGACAATGGAATGTCCTGAGTAATAGAGATTACATTAATAATCTAAACAATGCAATCCTTCCTTTCTTTCATTTTGCACATACCAAACAGCTTGCGGAGCACCTCAAAATTAGGTGCACCGTTCAATACCCATTCATGCCTACACGGCCAGTTCTCGATTGCTTGAAAACTAATGACACATGGTTTATTACATATTAGATACTTTGAGAAGAAATCATTGTACGTCACCGTCGAGTTGATTCGCTCGATCATAGTGGTAACGCAATCCTCGTTTGGATATGAGTCACTGTTGATCTCAATGAGTGTTGACATGATTCATATGATCGAAATTCGACCTTCATCATTCAGCCTAACGTAGAATCATCGCATTTGTAAAAGCGACGTTTGCAACACTCAGCAGCGATGTAATTTGATGTAAATCTAAATAAAAATTGATAAAGATGTTCATTTCAGTGCCGCTGTCAAGGACATGCAGATATCAACACGAGCTAATGTATAAATACTCTTGGTAATTATTTAGAATACGAGTTTCCCCTTCCCCTAGAATCTTAATAAAAATGTACTCATTCGACACGTTTTCACTCAAAACGAAAGAATCTGGCAAAATAACGCGGCGGTCGGCCTCGTGAATAGAATTATTAAGCGTTCGAGACTTTAGAAGTTAAGATATCTGTTATTCCGACTCTATGCAGTGTTATGTACATGTTCTGCTTTAATTACACAAATTCATTGCTTTAAAAACACAAATTCACTGCTTTAAAAATACAAATTCACTGTTTTAGAAACACAAATTCACTGTTTTAAAAACACAAATTCACTGCTTTACAAACACAAATTCACTGGTAATGTAAAAAATTTATGTGCTTAAGCCTGCGGCACACGATGCTTCTTTTCCTGCTGGATTGCTAGCTGGATTAGAATCTTGCTGGCACTGACAGCATCGTATCCAATACGATGGCAAGATTCTAATCCAGCTAGCAATCCAGTAGAAAAACAAACATCGTGTGCCGCTTTAAACAGTGAATTTTTAAAGCAGTGAATTTGTGTTTTTAAAACAGTGAATTTGTGTAAAATGTAGAACATACACATAGCGCTGTATCGAATGGAAATGATAAATATTTTAACTTCTAAATTCTATTCTATTCTTCGCGTTGGTGTGGCGCTCGCCACTGATAATGGCGGCGACTCTGCCAGAACAGAAACTGGAGTAGACGTCTGAAACACCCAGGCGGAACGTCACCTGGAGGGAGATGGAGAGGATGAATCTCCCTCCACTCTCCAAAGCGCAAACTCACATACATGAAAATCACACCTTTAGGTTTAATGATTTTAAGTAGGCAATTGACTACGTTTACACGGCAGCGATTAATCGGATTTAGTAACATCCGTAGTTATAACTCTCGAAATGTGTATCCATTTACACGGAGCGGTTTTTATTTATCCTACCGATGTTATAACTTCTGATTGAAGTCTCCCATGATACCAACTTAAGAAAATTAAAAGATTAATATCGATGTTATTAAACCCGATTAAGAGCGGCCGTGTAAACGTAAAAGAAATAATTTTTGGTAAATCATCAATCATGGAAATCATCAAATCAGTTATTACAAGATTCATCTTGAATTTTGAATATATAAAACAGTACAAATATTAAATGTACTAAGTAAGCGACGATGTTTAAATGAGGTTACATTACATTTTTTTAATGTTTCTCCACCAAACCATTTATTTGACGTCGAATTTACTTTACAATGTAAACGACAAAGAATAATATGGATGAAAAAAAGAAGTAGTGACTGATGGAAGCGAATAGTTAATGATTATTTTAAAGAAGAGGATTGGTTAGAAACATTTCGTATGACAAAACCTACTTTTCAGTGGTTGTGCGATGAATTACGAGGTGAACTCATTCCAAAAGAAAATCAATTAGGGTTTCGAGAACCATTATCAGTGGAAAAACAAGTCGCCGTATGTTTATATTTTTTAGCCAGTTGTTGTGAATACCGTATTGTAGGAAACATTTTTGGAATTCATAAATCTACTGTATGGAAGTGTGTCCACAAAGTAGTTAATGCAATTAACGCAAAACTTATGTATATGATAACTATGCCTGATGATAACGAATGCCAACAAATAGCAGCAAGCTTTGAAAGAAAAACAAATCTACCACAAATAATAGAAGCAATCGATGGAACCCATATTCCAATTCTTCCTCCTAGCGATGGTTATAGAGACTTTATAAATCGTAAAGGATGGCCTTCTATAATATTACAAGCAGTTGTTGACGATAATTTGAGGTAAAAATTAAATACAGATTAGTGCAATATATTTTTTAATTTCAATGCAGATTGATTCTTAACATATTTTATTTGATTTTAATATTTCAATATATTTAATACTTCCAGATTTCGTAATATTTTTTGTGGTACACTAGGAGCATCTCATGATGCAGCTGTTTTTCAATCTTCAAATTTATATAAAAATATCAATTTGTTGATTCCACAGGTTAGTACAATTTTTAAAAATTAGTAATTGTTTATAAAAATCATCTAATTTGTAACAACTTTTTAGCGAAACTCAATACTTTCAAATGTACCGATTTCATATTTTATTGTGAGTGATCCTGCTTATCCATTACTTCCGTGGCTCATAAAAGGATATACTAAAAGCAATCGATTAACAGCTGAAGAGGATAATTTTAACGTACATCTGAATTCCGGACGTGTGTATATTGAAATAGCTTTTGGAAGATTGAAAGCAAAGTGGCGACGACTTCTTAAACGCATGGATATACACTATTCTTACGCATCTCATATCATATCAGTCTGCTGCATTTTACATAATATTGTTGAAGAACGTAAAGAAAAATTTTTACCTGCATGGGAATGTTTAATAAATCAATCAAATATCGAAACTCAACAACCACAAGCATTTGTAACACGCAACTTAGATAATATTACTACAAGTACAATAAGAGATACACTTAAAAATTATTTAGCAGAAAATTTTGCTTTACGTTTATTTCAACTTTAAATTATTTCTATCTATTATAATTCTATATTAAGTATATTATGTATGTATATTCTCTCTACATTTGCAATTAATTGAATTGGGAATGTCATATCAAAATTTGTTGTTTTCATAGTATGATATTTAAGGGTTAATTATGAAAGTATATTTGTCTAGGATTCAGTAAAAAGTAAAAATACATTATCTATAAGTACACATAAAATATTTGTTTAGAAAATATTTGAATAAAATGTATTTTTTAATCGTACAATCCTATCTAAAAAAAAGGCATGTTAAGGGGATGCTAAACCGATTACCCAACTCAATCAAGGTCGATAGTACAGACTTTTTAAATTTCAATTTCGATAATAGTGGCGACATCTTTGATTTAGTTTTTACATTATATTATATAATATATATCATTCTGTCTTACTCAAACGCATACATCTGTTCTTATCTAACATATGCCAGCACCATCTATCGCAAGACCGCGCAACTACTGCTACACGGAATTTCGGCTCTGTTGACAGTCCAAGTCTTCGCAAAACATCTGTATACACGTATTGTCTATTCGGTAGAAATATTTCTTTTCTAGACTTTCAATCTTAG